ATAAAGAAGATTCTTCCCTACGTACAGAAGAGTACTAGATAACCTTGACACCCACTCAGAGGGAAACCGGTTTTCCCAGGAGTCATCTCCTCTGTGAGACAGGAGGGGGCAGCACTGCAGGGACAGAAGCCCCCAGCAGTGTCTGGGTGGAAGAGTAATTAAATGGAGCTGGCCATATGGCTCAGCAGGTAAAAATGCTTGCTGCACCTGGAGACCAGAGTTCAAGCTTCACAGCTTCACAGATCACACGAAGGTGGAAGGCCTGAACAGACACCAAGACACTCTTCTGACCTGCCACACCCGCCCAGGCATACACATGCTCGAGTACACAACCATAAAAAACACAAACTAGAAAGCATGAACTGGAATGTTCTTTCTTGCTTCAGCATCTATTTTTAATAATCAGAGTTCACCAAGGGGACACACAAGCTGGCACACTACCTTCCACACTTACGAGATATTATCAAGACATCACACTCTATTCCCACCAAAAGACAGTCAGGAAGTTGCGGCAGAAGCCGATGAGGACTAGGTACTGACAGTCTTCCTCTACATAGTCTCCCACACAGCCGCTGACAGTGACGCCACAATCGGACAGTGCGGGCAAGGTACTCTGTGCACTAGAGACTTGATCACAGCGTCAGCCATCGGTAAAGACCAAGGGATCCTTTCCCTGAGGATGCCCGACATCAGTAATCACTGGGTGACATCTGCTTTAGTCACCATCTCTGAGGCAGAGGACACTGGGGGACCATGAGGAGGTGAACATGAGGACAGATAAGGCAGCAGGACACAGGGAAGAACCCTGGTGCCACTCTCTCCTAGAGGGTGATCACTTTTGAGACAGTAACAACCAAAGTGACATGAAGCCAGACACACTGCATCCTGGAGTCAAAGGCACCTTCATGATGACACTGAGCAGGAATGGAGCCCTCTACTCTCCTAGTGGGCAGGACTCTGGAATTCTAAGAAGAAAGCTTCAGTGTCCCCCTCACCTTAGGCCAGGGCTAGGGTGCCACTAATTGTTCACTAGAGTTCCCAGCCTCATGCTTGTCACTTCTAGGCACCTGTCACTCCTCTTCAGCAACCAGAATAGTCTTAAAGTCTGAAAGTCACTTCAAGGTAGAGAATAGGCAATTTAGAGCCAATTTTGACTTCATAGTAAGTTCGAGGCCACCCTCAACTACCCGAGACTGGTTTTAAAAAAATGAGTCGGTAAAATCTGAGGGTAAGGGACAAAAATAATTGACACTGAGCTGTAACCTCAGGAGAGTTGAGGCTAGCCAATCTCAAAAAACAAAAGCAAAGCTGGATTTAGTGGACACACCTTTAATCCAGGCACTAGGAGACAGAGGCAGGAAGATCTGTGAGTTTGAGGCCAGTTTGATCAACAGAGTTCTCGGACAGTCAGTTCTAGGACACAGATTCTGTCTAAAAACAGACCAACCCTATGGCAAAACCAAAAAGGCATTCAACACCACAACCCAAAGGAAACATAAACTAAAAGCATGGGACAATACCGCACTATCAGAAGAGTTGAGCAAGGGGAAAGGTGTACAGTGCAATCAAGCATGTGGAACTTCTCACATTGCTGGTGAATGAGGGCGAGACACCGAGGGAGTGTGGCCATCTCTGGTCTGCTTTGTTGCTGCAGATGGAATCCAATTTGGGCTCAAATTCACTCTCTAGCTGAGCATGAGCTTGTACTCCTGATCACTCTGCCCCACCCCCTAAGCCTCAGGATCACAGGTACACCTACCCCACCTATATTAAATTAGTTTAAAAAAAAAAAAAAACCTACACATGCAGATGTCAAAAAACAACTGTACTCTGGGACACTCACCTCCAAGAAATGAAAATTCACATCCGCACAGAAAGCCACCCATGGATGCGCACAGCTGCTTTACTTGTCATGGTCCAGATCAAGACTATCACTGTGTCTTTCCATGAGCTCACAGTTAAACTGTGAACTACTACTCAATCAACAACAACAAAAGCATACTGTCACACTTGGGTTAACTTCTTAGGGTATTGTGCTGACCGAAAAGCCATCACCTTTGGCTTTGGGGATGGCTCAGTGGGTAAAGCATTTGTCTCCAGTGGGAGGACCTCAGTTTGACTCCCCAGAATCTAAGCAAAAGTATTGCTCTGCTGAGGACCTGGGTTAGATTCCCAGCACTCACTGCACAGCTCAGAACCAGCAGTAACTTCGGTCCTGGGGATCAGATGCCCTGCCCTCATAAGCTTGCAGGCCAAACAAAACAAAAAACTGTTATAAGGGCAACACCCAGCCCTCCCATCCTCAGCTGTGGTCACTGCTCCCACCCTCTTGCCTGTGGTGTCTGTGCAGCTAGCAGTCATGCCCCTGGATCTCCTAAAGGGACCTAAATAAATTTGTTCTTCCTATTCAGTTGGGTTTCAGGAAGCTCACTGTAGTGACCACAGAAACAACCTGATACAACTTTCAAACCTGACATGCCCAGCACTCAGGAAGACTCATGAACTAGAAGATCAGTGGCTGCCAGCGTCAGACAGTGGGCAGGAGGAAGCAAGAAGACAGGGTTATAAACATGAAGGGGTTTTGTTTTTTTATTAGTTAATTGTTATTTTGCCTTTTTCTAGACAGGGTCTCACTCTGCACCTAGGCTGATAGAAAACAACCCTCCCAAACCTTGGGATTACAGACAGGCCACTGGGCTTGACTTCACCCTCAGGAGCTTCCCAGGGCAGTGGATTTCAACCTGTGGGTCGAGACCATTTCACAGGGGTCATCACAGACCATAGGGACACTCTGATATTTACATTATGATTCACAATAATAGCAAAATTATAACTATGAAGTAGCAATGAAAACAGCTGGGATCACTACAGGATGAGGGGGATACTAAAGAGCTTCAGCATTAGGAAGGTTGAGAACCACTGCTCTGGGGCAGGATGGTGGGAGATACAGGACTCTCCTCAGGGCTCAGACATCACAGGATTAAACACACGCAAAACTGGAGACGTGTGAAAGACTGAGGAGTGATGCCCTGGCCACAGTCTCTGACAGAGGGGCTGCATCTTAGGAATTCAGGTTGCATGTCAATTTAAAGTGTTTCCCCTTAACAAGTGTGTGTGTGTGTGTTTGTGTGTGTAGGGGGGTGTTGTCCTGCAAGAAACTTAACAGGTAAAGGCGTCTGCTGCCAAGCTTCGGTCCCAATCCCTGGGACCTACATGGCATAGAGAACCAATGCCCGCAGGTTGTGTCCAATACTGCCCCCCCCACACAACATTTGTTTGTTTTTACTTTTTTGAGACATGGTTTCACCATACTATGTAGCCTTTGCTGACCTTAAACACAGGTATCTGACTGCCTCAGCATCCTGAGTGCTGGGTTTAAAGGCATGAGCCACCACCACACATGGCCACAATTTTTTTAAGGCAGTAAAAAATATTTTTAAATGTGTATTATGTATAGCTGCCCTCAGAAAACAGAAAGAGCTGTTAGAGACCTTGGAGCTGAGTTACAAGCAAACGTAAGCCTCCTGGTATAAGCACTGGGACCAAAACCAGGCCCATTGCAGGAACAGTAATTTTTTAAAATTACTGAACCAGCCAGGCGGTAGTGGCGCACGCCTTTAATCCCAGCACTTGGGAGGCAGAGGCAGGCGGATCTCTGTGAGTTCGAGGCCAGCCTGGTCTAGAGCTAGTTCCAGGACAGGAACCAAAAGCTACGGAATAACCCTATCTCGAAAAATAATAAAAAAAAAAATTACTGAGCCACCTTTTCAGTGGGGCCTTCCTCCACCTTTTTAAATATACTTTTTTCCACAGTGGGTGAAAGTGCCTGCTGGCACACCTGAGCTTGACCTGAGGCCCAAACAGTGGAAAGATAAACCTGTCTTTAGTAGTGTATAGAGGCTGGGGACATAGCCAGTGGTAAAGCAGCAAAGAAGAGGATTTGCGTTCAGATCTCCAGACATTTTACTAATGTAAAAACCTGGGTGTTAGCTCATGCCTGTAATTACAGTATGCAGGTGGGGCAGAGACAGGAGGGTGCTTGGAACTCACTGATCAGTCAATCCAGCCCTGCCGACTGGCTCCAAGTTCAGTGACAGAGTCTGCCTCAAAAACAAACAAAAAATGCAAAGGATGAAAAAAAAACCCCACAAAACAAAAAAACAAAAACCAGTGTAGCCAGGCAGTAGTGGTACAAAACTTTAATCCCAGCACTCAGGAGGTGGATCTGAGTTCGAGGCCAGCCTGGTCTACAGAGCAAGTTCCAGGATAGCACAGCTATCTTGAAAAACAAAGTATCTGAAAAAGACAACTTCTCACCTCTGACCTCCACACCCACACAAACAAACCACTCATATATACAAATTATTCTTATTTTTTAAAATGTACTTACTTTTATATGTATGAGTGTTCTACCTGTACTTGCACGTCTGTGTACCACGTATGTGCCTAGTGTCTGTGAATGTCAGAAGAGGGCATCAGATTCCGTGGACTTGCAGATGGCTGTGAACTACCTACCATGCGGGTTCCAGCAAGTGCTGTGGAGCACTGAGCTGTCTTCAGCCCCAGTGAAGTAAGTGCTCTGCAGTCATCAACTTCCAATCCTGACCACACACAGCAGCCAGGCAGGACTTCTGTTTGTCAGAAGACTCAGCTTGGGGCCTTCCAAATGACAACAAAAGAAAACCTATGGGGGTGGAACAGATCCTAGAACCTCTTTATGATAGTAGCCTCAGGTAAAGGGTAGTAAGGAGGGAGGTGGTCGTGTATGGTAAGGTACCAGATCCTGAAAGCTGGGAAGCCCTAAATGTACATTATATGCAAATATGCAGAGACCTAGGAAGACACCCAGAGGTCAGTCCTGAGGTGGGTTGGGTGGAAGAGAACTGGCCCAAGGCTATGTGGATTTGAACTGCCCAGTGCTGGGAGTAGAGGACTGCATTCCAATTCCAGTTCAACAAGTCTACTTTGTTTAACAAAGGGAAAATAAAGCAAGCACTTACTGCATTCATAGATCTGTTCCAGCTTATCCACAGAAGAAAGGGAGAAAAACTTATACCCGGACTTACTACCAACCGCGAGGGACCTGCAAAAAAGCCAAATCACAAGTAAGAGCTAAGGCATGGAGACAGCAGTCATGCATAAACCAGTACCCACCTTACCTCCCAGTAAACCGGGTTTCTACCAGAAATCACCAGCGTGTTCTGAGCTATCTCACAGGTATGGATCAGATACGTGGTAGAGGGTGCTACAGACCAGAGGGTTGTCAAGCATAAGGCAGGGCCATGATGGTTAACAAGGTGCTGGGACTTGACACAATATGGTTATCATACACAGAACCCAAGCATGTCAGGTGTTTGTGTGCGCATGTATGTGACGAATGTGAGCAAATATAAGCTGTGGTACACAGTGGAGTCAGGGTGTTGGCCCTCCCCTCCCACCTTGTTAGAGACAGGGCTCTCATCACAGCTGCACACACCAGGCTAGCTGGCCTCCAAAGGTCCAGGAATCCTTTGGTTGCTCCCTACCCAACCTTAGGAAGACCGGACACACAGCTGGCTTGATGTGTGCTCTTCAGAGCTGAACTCCCCCTCGTTTTCACATTACGTGCTTTACCTTCTGAACTATCTATTTCCCCAGCCCAATGGTCACACATCCCACATACACGTGTAGGAGGGTATCCGGCTATAGACTTTAAGTATATTTAGGTTTGTCTGTTACCCCTCAATAAAAGCCTGGGGAAAGATGAAAAGTAGTAAAAAAATAAATGAACAAAACTCAGAGCTCTAAGTTTGAGACCTAACCACAGAATAATCAGCTGTCAGCCAGTGACTGCAGACACACAACTGTTTTGGCGCTTGCTGGCCTTCAAGTTCAGTAAGTTGCACAGCATTCTCCACTCCACCCTTAAACCCAGGCTTGGTATCCATCCTCATTTCGGGACTGCCTCCAGCATCCACTGCACTGTGCTTGAGAGGTAGGGTGGGAATGACTCGCACTAAGGGAACTACTTAGACCCTGAGAGGGGAAGACTATCTTTGTTGCCTTAGACAGAGAAGTGATGGATTCTTTTCAATGGCTTATATTTGACAGGCCATGTTCACCAACTCCCAGCCTTGGCTAAAAGGCTTGGAGCAGTGTCTTGGTGACACCAAATGAAGGGGCTTCTGATCAGAAAATTCCATCTCCAGAATACAACTGACCAAGGCAGCAAGAGCAAGCAGCACAGCCAGGCTTCACCGATGCAAAGGAGGATGGGGGAAAGGAGGGACTGAGGAGACACAGTTCAGACACTGGGGCTATTCCTGGTCTAAGCGCCTGGGCAGAGCGGAGGACTTTCACCCAATTTGTATTTGTATCCCAGGACAACACTTGGGGCTACTTTAACAACCAGCTCATCTACTGAACACTTGATGTTCCCAGCCCTCCCAGAGAAGTGGACATACTCCTAGAAGCTGGGGGTGGTAGGTAACATTTGCCTACAATTTCAGCATCTGGGAGGCAGAGGCTGAAAGATCAAAAAAGTTTTATAGGGCTGGAGAGATGGCTCAGAGGTTAAGAGCATTGCCTGCTCTTCCAAAGGTCCTGAGTTCAATTCCCAGCAACCACATGGTGACTAACAACCATCTGTAATGAGGTCTGGTGCCCTCTTCTGGTCTGCAGGCATGCACACAGACAGAATACTGTATACATAATAAATAAATAAATAAATAAATAAATAAATAAATAAATAAATAAATAAAAAAATAAAAAAGTTTTATAGGCCAAAGGCAGCCTAGGCTGCATGAGGCCCTGCATCAAATCACCAAACTGGGGGGAGGGGGGAGGATGAGAAAGGCTCTATGAGCAGTACTGAAATCTCAGTAGTATGAGCTTGTCTTATAGCATAAAGGACCACAAACTTTCTCCACTAGGTGTTTGTTTTAATACTTCACTACACTAAGTTCTTTGAACCAAGTAATCAGGTCTAGGTATCTGTACACACTGTGAGCAGTAAAAGGTGGCCAAGGTGGTACACACTTTTAATCCCAGCACTCAGAGTCCAGCCTGATCTACACGGCAGATGCCAGGCCAGCCATGTCTTAAATTTAGAAATAAATAAATAAATAAAAGAGGAACAGAGCAGTTTCCCAGAAAGCTTAAAAATAAAATCTCAGCAGCTAAGAACGTCTGGAAAATTGGTGTTCAAGACAATATCTTCCAGACAAACAAGAAAATTTTAATCTCTCTTACTTCAACTAATTCTGAATTTAAAATACAAACCACCCTGGCAATTGGGAGGAAGAAGCAGGAATATCAGCAGTTAAGAGCTAGCCTGGGCTTCGGTGAGTCCCCGCCTCACAGCAAAAAATGAAAATACCCAAAATACCAAGGACAAAAAGAAAAAAACAAAAATCACTCTTAAATTATTTATTTTCCTGTATGTTTTAAAGATGTGTATTTATAGGAGTACATCTACGTGAATGCCTGCCACACGTGTGGGGCAGCTGCAGTGAAGTTAACAGGCAGCTCTGAGCAGTGGTTGCTCATGGTCCTCTGGAAGAATAACAAGGGCTCCTAACTACTGAGCCACCTTTCCAGACCCCCAAAGAAAATGTTTCGGTGTTCTTAAGACAAAAGGACACATTCTTATCTCAATTGTTTGAAAAGGAATCTAAGATATGGCTGGCTTGGGACTTTTAATCCTCCTGCCTCAGTCTTCCTATGTGCTGGGATAGACATGAACATGTCTGCTTTGGCAAATTCTTTTGGTTTCAGGGTTTTGTGTCTCCCCCATCAGATGGCCCGATCATGTGAAATACATACATACTTACATTTATATACATATATACATACATATATATGAATTCTATGTGAATGATATATGCCTGAATGTATGTATGTATACTACATGTGTATAGGAACTCTGGGAGCCAGAAGAGGGTATTGGATCTCCTGGAACTGGAGTAACAAACAGGTGGTTGAGAGTCAGCATGTGGGCGCTAGGAACCAAAAATCTGGGTCCTCTGCAAGAGCACTAGGTGCTTTTAACTGCTTGAGCCATCTTTCCAGGCCCCTGACCATAATAATTCAAAGGTATTTTCTGGAGCTGTTAGCACGTGTGAGGCCAGGGTTCAATCTCCAGCATAACAAAAACAAAAGCCTACCCTAACAGACAGCTGTCAGTCTTCCAGCCGGATTACCCCGTCATCAGCACCCCTTTGCACTTCCTGTTCACTGGAAATCAGAGACACTTGGGGAGGTCCTTGCCTATAAGCACTGGAAGTGGCTCGGGCTGGAGAAATGGCTCAGAGGTTAAGAGCACTGACTGCCCGACCAGAGGTCCTGAGTTTCCAGCACCCACATGGTAGCTTGTAATGAGATTTGGTGCCCTCTTCTGTTGTGCAGACAGAACACTGTATACATAATAAATAAATCTTTCTTTAGCAGGGCGGGTGGTGGGGCACGCCTTTAATCCCAGCACTCTGGAGGCAGAGGCGGATGGATCTCTGTGAGTTCAAGGCCAGCCTGGTCTACAAAGCTAGCGCCCAGGACAGGCTACAAAGCTACACAGAGAAACCCTGTCTCGAAGTGTTATGTGGAGTCCAGAGAGGTTGGTTCTTAGTGGTGCTCCCCACGGGAAGTTTGTGTGTGTGTGTGTGTGTTTGGTTTATCGAGACAGGTTTTTCAGTGTAGTCCTAGCTGTACTGGAACTCACTTTGGACCAGCCTGGCCTTGAACTCAGAGATCTGCAAAATATTTTTTTTTAACTGCAAAATATTTTTGATGTTCTAGATAAACAAAACCAATTAGACTATTAAATATCTGGGCTAGAATTTTGGTGCCTAAAGCCTTCTAACTGATGGTGGCCTTTCATCAGGAAGAAACAGAATGTAAAAGACGTTACCAGGCTAAGAACATAATGACACTGGAACAGACTCAGGTGCATCAGAGTACCTGCTGGGCCAACTGTGGGCCTTGGCCATCAAGTGTCTAACATGTCTCATTACAAACACCAACAATCTTTGGTAGGTTCTCTTAACAGAAAATGAGAGATCAGAAGCCGGGTAGCGATGGTACACACCTTTAATCCCAGCACTCAGGAGGCAGAGGCAGGCAGATCTCTGAGTTTGAGCCCAGCCTGGTCTACACAAGCTAGTTCCAGGACAGGCTCCAAAGCTAGAGAAACCCTGTCCCCCACCCAAAAAAATAATAAAAAAAATGTGACATTATAATCATGGAAGAGGCGTAACATGAAAGGTGAGATTTAGTGTTAGAAATAAATGTGCCTTTTAAAAAGTTAACACAAGTCTAGGGATGTAGCACAGTGGAAGAGCACTTGCCTGGCTATACAACAACCTGAGTTCAAGCCCTGGTTGTAAGCAATAGTATCCTTATCGACAGAGAGGAATATAAACTGCAAGAAATGACAGACATTATACTTGAGAAAGGCAGGAGGACCGCAGTTCAAGGCCAACTCGGGCTGCTTAAAGAGACTATCTCAAAAAATAGCCAGGCAGCGCAGGGGAAAGTGGATCACTGTGAGTTTGAGGAAGGTCTGGTCTACAAAGCGAGTTCCAGGACAGCCAGAGCTAAACAGTGAAACCCGTCTTAGAAATAAAAAGTTGGGTGGTGGTGGTACGTGACCTTTAATCCCAGCACTCAGGAGGAAGAGCAGGCAGATCTTTGAGAGTTCAAGGCCAGCTAGGTCCAGGAGTGGCTACAGAGAAATCCTGTCCCGGAAAAAAAGCAAGCAGAAATAAATAAAGATGTAAAGGGTGTGGTGGTGCCCACCTCAGAACTCGGGCAGTTGGGGGGGGGGGGTAAGCAAAGGAGGAAGCTTTAAGTTCAAGGCCACCACTCTGGCCTTGAGCTACAGAAGACCCAGCCCCACCAACACACCAACAGAGCCTTGGCTAGAGAGATTGTTCAATAGTATTTTTTTCTTGCAAAGGACCTGAGTTAGATTCCCACCACCCACAACAGGCAACTCACATGCCTTAACTCCAGCATAAAGGATTTGACTTGCCTTTGACCTCCTCAAGCATATACTTGTACTCTTCTCATCTTCCCCTCCCATGAGTCAAGGCAGTTGCAATCTTTTTGCTGTTTTATGATGATACGGGAAAGAGCTGCCACACTGACGTGATACCTCTATCACTGTGAGAGTGTGTAGCAGGTGCCCCTCAGCTTCCCAGTCAGTCCATAGGGGCCTTCCCCTGTCATTACCTTCCCCAGGAAAAGGTCACACTGATTATGTGGATGAGTGGGACAAGTCACCACTATAAACAGGAAGCAGAATGCCCCATGGCCACAGTGACCTGTCAGGTGCTATGCCTTACTTAGGACAAGGACCAGGCCAAGTTCCTGGAGAACCCAGCCCATCCCCACCCCAGACCTGCACCAGAAGCCCCAAGGCCTTTCAGAGCATCCAAAGCAGATGTCTTTCCTTGGCCAGTTTTCTTAGGGTGCTAACAATGCTCCCAAAGAAGCCCCAGAACTGGGAACTAGGTTGCCCTTGAACACATCACACAGGTTCTGTGAATTGCTGTCCATCCACACTCTGCAGCAATCTGTACTTCTCAACTGTCTACTTCAAAAAGCAGGCAGAGGGGCAGGCAGTCAAGGCTAAATGACCTTCGGAAACCATCTTCAGTTTACAGGCAAATGCAAAGCCTTCCAGAATGGTACCTGGTGCCTGGAGGAAGTTTGGAGAATGAATGCCTCTAGACCATGCCTAACAACGTTGGAGTGGGGTGAGGGCTGTCCCTTTACTCTAGGCCTCTGGTAAAGGAGGCTTAGAAAAGACACAGCCCCCTCTCTGACTTCCCAAAATCCATCAGAAAAACTTAGTCCTGATGGTCCCCCGGGTGCTATTGACTGGAAGGGTTTTCTTCCCACCCAGACAGCACTGCTTAGTTGCGAGGCTGCAACAGGTCCCGATAGCTTTCGCGGTGCTGGCTTTGTGCTGTATTGCATACAAAACACAGTATTTAGCAATCTGAGTATGTGTGTTTGTGAGGTTACACTTGAGTGTCGGTGTATATTTAATGAAGTACGGTCTCTCCCTGAACCCCAGAGTTTACTGATTGCTAATCTAAACTAGTCAGGGATCTCCTCTCTCAACAAGAGTGTGGGGTTATAGATACCTGCCTAGCTTTTCTGTGGGTACTGGGATCTCAACTCTCTCAACTCTAGTCCTCACGGTTGTGTGACAAGTGTTTTAGCCATTGAGTCATCTCTCCAGCGCCATAGTGGCTTTAACTTGTACAGATCCACACTATACTTCTATACTCAGGGTCTTCAGAGGTAGAAAAGACACACTGTGATAGAACAGAAAGAACCCTAGGAGAGAACACTCAGGAGACAAGAGCCTACTCCTGCCCCATTCCACCATTAACCACTCTTAAGATCTAGAAAGGGCCAGACCTTTCTGAACTTCATCGTCTAGTCTGTGGCAGAACCAGGTGACCCACATCCTTCCAAATCTCTGGACATCTCCCTGAACTTGAGAATATCGAGAAAGTCCAATTGAGCACCTGTTGCTCCTTCATACAGGTGCCTGCCATTCTCCAATTTAACTTTTAATTGAAGAAAAACAAAAAAACCTCAGTCTCTATCTTGCTAATGCTATTCTGTCAGCAGCAGCCAACTACTTAGTGTGATGCCAAGTGACCCATTCCTTCTCCTCTGACATCACTTCCTCTTACTCACTTCCCAAGATGGCTCTTCTCCCTTCCAGTCCCATAACTCATCCTTCCTTCCTCAGAAGCCTCATCTATTAACCACCTCCCAGGTATGCCAACGAGCCAGTCTTGAAGAACCACATTGGGACCTAAGGCAGATCAGTCTGGCAAAACAGGAGGTCGCATGAAGGTTCTCTTTTACTCCAGGAAGAGCCCACCTTACCCCCACCTTCCACCCCCTTGGAGCACCCAGGCCCTCTAAGGACAAAGTCTCTCTAGTTCGAAGGTCTGGGTTTCTGCAGTTTGGTTGTCTGGAGGAGACAAAGTTACCTGTCAGAAAGAATGGCAGAGAAGTAAAAAGAAAAAGAGAAACCATGAGAGCGATAGAAGATGCAGAGAAATAGGGAGGTGAGCAATGAATGCCCAGGGCGGCCGAGAAACCCATTCCGGGTGACCGGCACAAACCGGCATGCACAGTTCCTTCCCGACTCTGCAAAAGCCTAGGTCTGAGGACAGGTGGATGGGAACGCCTCGTGTTCCATCACCTCCACCGGCCCAGGAGGCAGCAGCTCTCCAGCGGTCGCGGGGGCTCAGGCCCCCCCTTAGACACTCCTAAACTCGATCCAAACCCTGACCTCTGACCCGGCCCCGTGCCCAAGCCCGGCCTTACGTGTTATCCTGGTTGAAGTTGGCGAACAGCAGCTGGCCGGCGCCGGCCTCTCCGCTCTGGCTCGCCAGGTTCATGGTTGCGCGCGCGCGACGGGCTCGGACCCCCTTCACGGGAGCGCACGCGGCGCAACTCGGGCGGCCCGCGGGAGCGTGTTCCACTCAGGATCTGCGCCCGGTCCGGCTTGCGCCCTCGCTCGCCGCCACTCGCTGAGTGGGGACCAACCGCCGCCTCATCCCGTCCGCACTCTTGTTTATGCTCCAGAGCCGGGACGGGCTACGCGCTTGCGCGGCCCCGCCCACCCTCGCGACGTACGCAGGCGTACGGCGCAGACCCGCTGCGTAGGCCCCGCCTCTTACTCGCAGGCTCCGGAGGGGGTTTCCGGTCCCTAGCGCTTGCCTGAAGAGTCGCCGGCGGGCGCGCCTGCGCGTGGCCCAGAGTGGGCTGGTCCTTGCCCTCTGCAAACGCGGGGTTACCTCGTTGGTCCTGGTGCGCTGATCATTGTTCGGGGGGGGCCTGTGCACATCTTCTTGGGCTTAGAGCATCTCCGTTTTACAGATTTGAAAAGCGAGAACTGTAAACTATCAAATGTTAGATCTGAGACTGGAAACGATTTCTCCAAGGCGTGTGCCGTCAGGAGTCTACTTTAAATGTACTAATTCATGCAAACAGTTTACAGGAAGCATCTTCCCTCCCTCCTTCCCTCTTGCCCTTCCTCTCTCCTCTTTCCTTCGCGCCCTTCCCCCAAGAGGATGGGAACGCCCGTTTTGGCAAAGGTCCTGGAGAAAAGCGAAGCTTTTTTGTTTCAGCATGAGTTTGGGTGAGAAGACAAGAAGGCAGAAAGAATGCACAGCAGATGGCGAGGGTCTCTGGACACTGTTAAAACTGAACCTGTAGGCAAGAAGCTGATGACTCCCAAACTCTAGGCTGTTCTTGAGGATAGAGGGAAGTTAGTACAGCTCCAGGGACAAGGACAGTTGTTGAGGAAAAGATGACACAGCCCGCCCTCCCTCGAACCATCCGAGATAGGGTCCCATATGTGTCCTAGATTGGCTTTGAACTCTGTAGCTCAGGTGGACTCTTTGTGTGTGTGCGTTTTGGTTTTTTGAGACAGGGTTTCTCTGTGGTTTTGGAGCCTGTCCTGGAACTAGCTCTTGTAGACCAGGCTGGTCTCGAACTCCCAGAGATCCGCCTGCCTCTGCCTCCCGAGTGCTGGGATTAAAGGTGTGCACCACCACCGCCCGGCTGTTTTGTTTTTTTGAGACAGGTTTTCTGTGTAACGGCTCCTAGCTGTCCTGGAATTAGCTTTTGTAGACCAGGCTGGTCTCGAACTCCCAGAGATCCGCCTGCCTCTGCCTCCCGAGTGCTAGGACTAAAAGCGTGCGCCAACACGGCCTCGGCTTGGACTTTTATTTATCTTGAGTCTACCTTGGTGGCACACGCCTTTAATCCCAGCACTCGGTAGGCAGAGGCAGGTGGATCTCTGTGAGTTTGAGGCCAGCCTGGTCTACAAGAGCTAGTTCCAGGACAGGCTCCAAAGCTACAGAGAAACCCTGTCTCTAAAGTCAAAACAAACATTCTTTTGTTTTGGCCTTTGGAGACCTTGGCTGGCCTGGAACTCAACCTTGTAGACCAGGTTTACCTTCAACGTGTAGAGATTCACCAGCCTCTGCCTCTGCCTCCTAAGTGCAGGAATTAAACATACTACCTTGCCTGGCTGTTTGTTTTAGAAATTGAGTTTCCTATAGTACGTTCTGATCATAGTCAACCTTACTACCCAGATTGTAGATCTGGGTGGTGAGAGTCACCTAACTTGGTGTCTGCCTTCCTTTCTCTCTTTTCCTTCCTTTCTTTCTTGTTCTCTTTTTCTTTCCTTCCTTTTTTTTGGGGGGGTGGGGGGTGTTTCAAGACAGGGTTTCTCTGTAGCTTCGGAGCCTGTCCTGGAACTCATTCTGTAGACCATGCTGACCTCCAGCTCACAGAGATCCGTCTGAGTGCTGGGATCAAAGGTGTGCGCCTCTACCGCCTGGCTTTCTTTTTTAAACCCATCAGGTTCATTTTGTGCCGCCTATGTATTTGGCCTTCCACTGGAATGTGGTCACCCTATCAAGGACCATATCTTTTTTTTTAATTTATAAACTTTATTAGAAGCTTTGGTTTTTTATTATCATTATCTTTGTGCTATCTTACATGTCATATACTTTGGCTTTCGGTGAATTGCTCTGTGTCTGTGAAGCTGAAAGCGTACATTAAGTCTCAGGCTACCCTAGAGTTAAGGGTCTTCATTATTCCTTCTTTGGTTGAGTTCCATTTTTTCTCTTTTAAAAATATTTTTTTCTTTTCTTTTGTTTGTATGTGTATATGTCTGTGTAAGTATGTCACAAATGTGTGTGGGTACCCCATGAAGGCAAGAAGGTATTAGATCCCCTGGAACTGGGGTTACAGGCCTCTGTGAGCCTCCTGACAACAGTTCTGGGAAGAACAGCAAGTGCTCTTACCCACAAGCCATCTCTCCAGCCTGCAGGGTTCCTCTTTCTTATCTTGCCTTCATGGTGTTCTATTGTTCTTTAGATAGAAGGAACTAGCTAAGCAAGTGCTGGAGATGAAACAGCTGAGCTCACAGATGCCGCCCCTTGTCTGCTTTCCAAGGACCACATCCTTGAAGAAAACCAACTCCCCTGTTGCCAGCAGCCATCAGTTGCCAATTGCTTTTCAGCTAGGGGTGGGGCTTCATGCCGATCTTTCCCGTGACCAGACTCTGACTTGGTCTGTGCGTGTCATGTTTGTACATGGTGCTGCAACTGCTCCGAGTTCCCATGTACTGGGTCCTGCTGTTTTCTTGTGGACGTCCTTCGTCTATAGCCCCTGGCTCCTTCAGTCTTTTTGACTCTTCTTCTACAATGGTCCCTGAGCCTTAGGAGGAGGGGTGTGGGATAAATGTCCCATTTAGGGCTAAGCATTCCAGTCCCCAGTCTCATTCTCTCCACGTCGGTCAGTGGCGGGTCTCTGTGTTAGTCACCATCTTCAGCAGATAGTAACTTCTCTGAGGAGAGTTGAGATGCACTAGTCTATGGATTAACAGGAAGGCACTAGGCGATCGGGTTAATACCATGTTCATTTAGCAGAACGGTGGTGGTAGATCCTCCCCTAGGCCTTATGACTTGCCTGCCCATGGGTTTGACCCTGATAATGGTTCTGGGTATGGGTTTTATTTTGTGGAGCGGCCCTTAAATCCAATCAATATTATTGGCACAAGGAAATACTTTCTGAACAGGACCCCAGTAACCCAGGCATTAAGACCAACAATTAACCTCAGGAGACTAACAAAGTTTTTTGGCAGAGGACATCATTGTTTAAGGAAAGAAGACTAAAATGGGGACAAATCTTTAGAAGCTATACATCTGTCAGAGGGTTACTATCTAGAATATGCAAAGAGCTGAAAAAAAACTAAACATCAAGAAAATAACCCATTAAAAATGGGACGTGGAGTCGGGCAAGGTGATGTACACCTTTAATCCCAGCACTCAGGAAGCAGAGGTAGGCAGATCTATGAGTTGGAGGTCAGCCTGGTCAACAGAGTAAATTCCAGGACAGCCAAAGCTACACAGAGGAACCCTGTCTTTAAAAAAAACCAGCAACCCCTGGCCCAAATGGGGCATGGAACTAAACAGAGTTCCTAAAAGAGGAAACAAAAACAGCT